TTATGGGTTACTACTCTGAGAAATTGTAAAGAAAACTAACTTAAATAAAATTCAAACGTTCCAAAACATCACATTACATAAAATTACCAACGCTCCACTTTATGTATCAAACAAAAATCTTCGTAAAGAATGGATGAAAATAATTGAAGAGTAAGCTATTATTTTCTATAAAAGATTATTTTCCAAACTTGAAAATCATAAAAATGCACTTATTAGTGCCAACTAAATATATACCTAGTTTTTTTTTTTAAATTTGTTATTTAAGTTAAGTGTCTAGTGGACGACTCCTTACTCACGAACCTCAATTTTTTGTAACTCTTAGCACATTATATTTATTTTGCTTCTTTTTATATAAATTGTATATTTAGTATAAAAATAAAAACAACTTTAACGACCGTAATACGAGTGAGCAATTAACTAGCTATAATGTATAGATACCATTATTATAATTTACTATTAGAATATTTTATTTCACTCTTTCTTTCGACAAAATTATTACATGAATCATGATTATAAAACGTACGAAAATGTATGAGATGTAATACAAAATCAATAAGTATGGTCAGAGGTGATATAACAATACGGTATGAGTCACGAAAGTATTTCTATAAATCTATAATTATATACTAGAGCAGAAGAAAATCGTTCCCCGAACGGAAAAAGATTTTTTTTCTTTTACATCTGATGTCGTTTAGACACGTTAAATCTATCATCGTTATAATTATATTATCACCTGCAGTAGAGTCACCGTTATAGTTTATCAAGACTGAATTCACGCAGTATATTATTATCGGTCGAAAAAAAATCATAGTTTCCACGTTATTTTTGCACTCATTATCGAGCCAATTAGCCATCGTGTAAGCACTATTTTGAGTAAAATATCATCATGATTTTTTTTGATAATTTCAAATGCAAAACACCAAAAATTACATGCAAATCCATATACTCCATACGGCATACAATTAGATATTTTTATTACACGATGACTTATATTGTACGCACATCTGTACGTGTTCTCAACGAAAAAATAAACCCAGAACTTTTGTGATCGTATTAATAAAAATTCAAACTAATGCTTTTCAAATGCAGCAGATAATATAATATACACAAGGTTTTTTATCGTCGTTTTATTTAAGAATTATTACGGATCGGCGGGAAAAGTGGGTGTAATCGAATAGTCTCATGTCATACTATTTAATGGAAGTGACTCATATGTAAATAATTTGCCAACGACAAAATATTCCGATGATGCACGTATTATATATGTACTCCTAAAATAACTTAACATAAGTCATATGTCAAATAACTAAACAAAAAATAAAATAAAATCACTTAGGGACGCCCATAAGTGATTAAGGAACTTAAGTTAGCTTATCGAAGCTGTCGATTTTCATGCGTACATTTGCAAATCCTGTATTGATATATGGTAAGTATATTATATACGACAATAACTATCATAATATTATAATACATCATAAGGTTAAATAATATTTTAACCACTATTATCTTGGTAATGGTCTCCTATCCAAATAACATAAACGAATTTCTGAACAAGGTGATATCATTTTGTCGAATAAAAATTCTACACTTATAGAAAACATTATAATAACGTGGTGATATATTTTCTTAGAAAAATTGCAGTATACTTATAGTTTTAGTGGACAGATTCAATAAAATCAGTTTGTTCAATAAAACGAATTCGGTAGTAAACATCTAAACATCATCGGTACTAAACGAAATCATTAAAAATTAAAAATATACATTGTCGAAAGGTTCTATTAATCTAATATAATATTATCAAAGACGATATATTTTAATAAAAATCCATGTGAAGATTTGCATAAAAATAAGGAAATCAACCACACTCTTTATAATTTTAATATACTCCAGTTACATCGAAAAAAAAAGTGATATTTTACAGTATATTTTTTCAATAAAGTTGTATATATGAAATATGCTATTACTGAATTGTGTTTATTATAGATATTACCAGAAAAAATAGTTAAATATTATGTAGATTAAAACATTGATATATTATCTATTTAAGTTGATTAAATGATTTAATTATGTTGACTAATGTTAAAAAATTTTCAAATTATTTCTAAATGAGCATTAAAAATATGAATACATTATAAATTACTGTATTAACTTATATAATAATAAAAATAAAAAAAATTAAATTTCATTAATTAATACTTTATAGAAATTTTTAAGAAAATAAGGCAATAATCAATATGAGTATCTGAACCAAATATAATCAACTAATAGTTAACTTTATTTTATTAATATATTTTTTTCTCATTTCCGTTCAAGTTGTATATATTCAATATATGAAGATTCGTTAAAATATGCATTAAATATTAATAGTATGCACATTCAATTGTGAAAAAAAAATTTAATTAATTCAATGATTCCTCATGAAATGAAACCAAAAGAATTTTCAAGTTTTAAAAACAATTATTATAATGTTTAAAAAAAAATAAAAACAATCGAAATCCATTCACCAAATGTATATACTGTATACCTCTAAATTATATAAGATAATATATGATGAAGTTAATTAAAGTTATGGAAAAACTATTTTTAATAACTCAAGCAACATATACCAAATAGGCTATTATCATTTAATTTAAATATACTATATCCCACAAAGAAATTATTAGCCACTATAAAATATTTGAAATGCTCTGCATACAATTATGGTAATTTGCACGCTACATCAAGGAAACATGAACATTTTCCTGCAGATTGCGTCCAAAAATACCGACAGGAAAAAAATATGTCCACACCATGCCGTCGCCTTCTTTCCAATGCCTACACGCATATAAACATGTGTTGATAATAATATAATGTGACTTCTATTACAACTTACTGACGTACGTATAATAATAATAATGTAATGGGTGAGAAGAAAATGTAGGATATCAATTCCCGTCTCGTTTAAAAACCGCGTTAGACATTAACGTCGTCGTCGCCGTAACAATAAATCCGAAGTAATGGTCGGGTGTTAAAAAGCGCAAAACACACGTGAGTCTTTTTTCCGCACTTTCTCTCTCTCGCTCTTTTTTTTTCTCTCCCGACACCTCACCGTAGTACACTATATATATAATATTCGATATTTTTAGACACAACCGGCACGCAAATCACGTGTTTTGTCCGGGGGGGGAAATAACGAAACGAAATTTTTTTTTAATGTTGGTGTTTGTTGTGTGTAACGCGTATACCATAGTCATATAGATCTAATACTACGGATCGCACCCTGGACATAGTTGAGAGGAAAAAACAGCGAAAAAAATGGTTTTCGACGGAACGGCGCATTTTGACGGTGGCCGCGGGCCAAATTATTCACGCGTTTTGTGTATAAATGGTATCGTTTTTTAAACTGCACCCGCGCATTCGATGATCTTTACCAGGTGGCGTGCATTTCCTTTTATTTGCGTTGGACTACATGGAATAATATTTTATTTAAATCATCGAAAGCTGCGGATACCGCTGATCACCGTTCAACGCATGAGTATAACAATACTATTGCTTGAGTACAATGTTTGTATACGATCCTTCACCCTATCTCTATCCACATCCCACCTCAAATGACCGAATTTGTATTTTTTCGAGATTTCGTACCTACATGTTCAAGAGGTTGTTTTTGACTATTTTTAAGGGTGTAAACCGTCTCAAGACTATCTGAATTAATATCACTCAAAACACTGAATTTTATAATATTGTTTAAAAATAATTATAAAAATAAAAAAATAACTTTCACAAATCGTAAAACTATTTTAAGTGCCTAAAAATTATATAATGCTACGATTGAATAATTATTATTTTTTTTTTTTTTAAACAATTCAATTTAAAACCAACAGCTTTCATATATTATACTACAATTTTAACAATTTAAATTACATTTTAGATTATTCGCACACCAATGGTGCTTGTATAACAGTTCGGTTATAGATGAATATGGTTAATCGTCAAATGTATATATTTTAAACATAAGCATATTCATATTATAGCAATGTAAAAATACTTACATGGTATTTATAATGTATTTATAAATTGAAAGGCATGACTTATTGTTTTCATTGTACTTCGTCCATGCATATTATGTGTTCCATACGCAGTTACCACAATTTTCATTAGCTTTTAAAATACTTTATTCGCCGGAACGTTCATTACCTCGATTGTCTTATACATTTAATCTCGAAATAAATAAACGTTTGTGTTAGATATTTGACTCCAACACAAACTGTACAAATGTTTACAGGACATTATATGAATGATATTATTTACTCTAATAAATCGAGGTTGTCGGTTTGGCATTGTTTTTGGTTTTTATAATTGCTATCAAGCATTTCTGTATGGCATGTTATGCAAACGATAATAACATGATCGCTACAAAATAACTTAATTTCACGGTATGACTGTACACAATTTTAAAATAACGAAGTTCGTCCAAGAAATTTTAGGCCATTCCACACATCATTTAGTCGGTTCATCGAGAAACCATAATTACTTATACATGTAAACGACAACGGTGATCGCGAGTTGTTCATTTATGATCAAACCATTATAAAAATACAATTATAAAAAAACCGTTAACCGGAGGGTTACCGTAGGAAACCGGAGTATATTACATGGAGATTTATTGATTCCGCCGGCTACTGTTTATAAAATCTACATATTGATTCTGCCGGCTACTGTTTATAATATCTACACATCGATTCCGCCGGACACTGTTCATCCCCCCCCCCAATTATAAAATTATATAATTCAAAATGAAAATGCATAATCAAATTAATATTTATATGTGAATATATTGTAAAATATAATAAGTAAATGTATATAAGTAACTACTTTTAATAATATTTGGACATGTGTTTTAAATAAGTGAACTTGGAAATTTTATTATCTTACAAATAATTAGATAAATTTTCAATACATTATTTATTTTTTTTTATTAAAAGCACTATTTTTGCTATTTTTTTGTATGTTTATTCCGTTTATGTGTATGTAACTGTCAGTATGTATTTTTTTGATTTAAAATATGGGTGAATATGAAAATGTTTGGATGACCTTTTGTGAATTGTGAATTTAATTTTGAGTGGAAAGACTCACAGCTATTGTTAGTACGTTCCGAAGTTATTTCTTGATGCCTAAATACGTGGATTGAATTTTGCATCTTCATCAATATAATATTCAACTAAATAATCACAGAACTTAACTAACCTTTCATCATCTGGAGATACTGACATCAAATCTGTCATAAAGCAATCTCTTACTTCTTCTGGATTCAATAATGGTAATCCCATTTTAGCCAATTACCTATTTCATTTGATGCATCTTTATATTCTTTTGATAAGTCTAAAAAATAAAAATTATAAATAAATTAATATTAATAATAGATAATACAACAATAATATTATTGTATGTGTATTTGAATTTATATTTACCAAGACTTTGAATGTATTTCCACCAATTTTGTGTTAAATGAAATCTGCAACCGACGATCCGTATTTCTGGCCATATTATTTTTGCACCAATATGCTTCTTTAAAATCGGAAACTAATTTTGATGGAGAGAATAATAAATCAATTTTCAAACATTTATCAACCACATATTCAAACGATCGTGCATATGTGACTTTACATTTGTCTAGTAGTAAAAAGTATACGAGTGGAATATAATGTCCGTTCTTGAATATGTGGATAGTAAAAAACTGAAGAAAATATTTTGCACAGTAGGTAAAAGTACCATCCACAAATATTCTGTCTACTGAATATAGCAATTTTAATTTCGATTCTGTCGAAAAACATATAATTTTGTTTACTGAATCAACAACAAGAATAAAGTTTTCATCCTGGACAGTTTTAATTTGACATTCGTTCATTACGTTAATTGCTTCTGTAATATTAGTTGGGAATTTTGGATATGATGATCTACGAGAGCGGTATAAACATTGATGAATATTATTAATATCTATACCTGTAAACGTTTGTGTTAGTTCTGGCTTAGTTAAAGTTCCTCTATTGATGATTTTTGAAGGCCTTTCCAATTCGTCGTTTAAGTCCATTAGAAAATAATTTTTTTGATATACTTTATGCAATTTTTTCGTGATGGTTGATATTATGTATAGGTACCTTCATCTTTCAAAATGTTCTTTAATGTTTGATCTACATAAATTTTCGCGGTGCACTTTTTTATGTATACACTGCCATTTAAAAGTATCTAAATACTTCACATAATCTATTTATAATATTTACTATTATTATACAAAATCCTATCTTTTTTTCGTTCACTTGAAATTATAGAAAAATTCATTGTAATTAAAAATGTAACAAATTGTAATTAAGATCCTAATACAAGTGTGTGAGTATGTGACACTTTATACACGTGGAGCAATTTCGTTAACTAGATCGATACTGTCGATACTGATTAGCAACTATGCGAGAAGTAATAAGGAAAGTCCACATTTTAACAAGCGGAATCGAACCAAACCAACATAAATATACTGTTATAGTCTTACAGATATTAAAATATTATATTATATCTTATCTTAAAGATAAGATTTCAGTTAGCATTTCTAAGTTCACTTATTAACTGTGTGACACAGTCTGTGTCCAAATATTATCAAAAGTAGTTCCACTTTAATTTTGAAATATACAACTATAATTATTTTATACAATTTAGATTATACATTTAACAGTATATTCATATACATATTAATTAAATAGTAATATTATAATTTATAGTTATATATTATACCGTCTAAATTATGTATACTTTCTAAATAGACTATACATTTTAAAATACATATACAAAGGGGAAGGGGGGGGGTGAACAGGAATCGATGTGTAGATATTTTAAACAGTAGTCGACAGAATCAATAGCCTGCGGAGTCAATATAAAATCGGCGGAATTAATATACGCTCTATTACACATATTAAACACTCTTTTTACTGACAATGTATTTTTCCGATTGCCGCTCACAAAGTATATAAACACAAAATACACATAACAGCTGCACGAATACATGTATTATAGGTAGTGCTTATATATGCTTAGATACTTATACTCAATATATCGTATACATAGAAACATGATAAAAAACTATTAATACCCACGTATAAAAATTAAAAATTCTTTACAATACACTTTAGAAGTAAACTATTGTTTTTTTAAACATTTTTATACAAATATCGAATATATATTGTGTAAACGTGTGGCTTTGATATCTGCCGATAATACACTTTATCATAAAATAACACAAAGAAAATAAAGAGCTTTTGTTTCGCAGCGACACCGTAGCATCTCAAGTTATTTGAAAAAAACATTTTTTAGTCAAAATTCATAATTTATATATCACCTCTGCATTTTATAAGAATGCAATTTTTTTAAAATAATTTTTAACAATACCACCAACAGGCATATTATTATAAAGCTATTACATTTTATCTTGTAATCTAAAATTTGGCTTTAAATTGAAATTTCAGACTCCTTTAAAATCTAAATTTGGAAGAACCTACTTAATACATTGTGGTAATTAAAAAAGTCTTTAAGTGAAAGCTACTTCAGTTATAGAATTAATATGTAGGTGACTTATTACAAACAAAATCTAATTTGTAAAAAATGTATAAGAGATGATCATTTTAAAGATTAATGGTTGGTGAATAAATTGTATCGATTTAACTGTTTTTAAGTGTCCACTTCACCAAATATAAGCAACCTATGAAACTGTAACATTGTAATAGCAGATAATCATCAAAAGAGCACGTGTTAAAAAAAGCAAATGTTTAAAAATTTTACTGTATGAATAAATCGTTATCGATTAAAAATAAAATTAGTAGCAATAAATGTTATTAGTTGTATTACAATAATGAGTATGATTTTATAGCGCAATTAAAAACCATATTTAAATGTTTATATATGAAAAATATATCTATACTCCTTTATATTTATATTATTACATATTTTATTATTATAATTAATAAGTTTAGCATTTCCAGATAAACGGCCAAGATTCTATAACGTGAGAGACCATCATACCTTCAATTTAGTAAATTACCATGGCATGTAACAATTTAACCCAGATGATGCATGTAAAATTCTAGTATCTGACCACCAATCTTCTCACTGATTGTTAAGTCATACATTATTAATATTAATTAGATAAGTAAATTTAATTATATATTTGGACGTGTATAGTGAACATAAAATATTTAACAATTTATATATATTTTAACAATAAATATTGGGTTAGATGTTGCCAAAAAAGAAGATTTAATCTGTACTCGGTTTATATATCAAAATAAAATAACGCCTGTAATTCATTATCCTAGGCCACATATTATATTAATATGTATTAATATGTCGAAGTTGAAATAGTTTCGTATTCAAGCATGGATAATGGAAACTGTGTTAAATTAAATAACATTTAGTAGCCTGCGATTGTTGGAATTTATATGATTTACGATTTACGATTTTATGAACGATCACATTGGAGGCACGGGTCGGCGTTTTATGAGTTTACTTATGTGTGGTCGAGTTTTCTTAGGTTTTTTTTATACTGTTATTTATTTATTTATTTATTATTATTATTATTGACCGCCGTGCAACTGACATTCATGAGATCTTAACCAAAATACTATACATTTGAACATTACGAGATTTATTAACCAAAAGTCTCGCTAGAAATCCATATTATTTACTATATCTCATAAATTATAAATTGACATAAATATTGTTTTTTTTTCTGTTTTTGTTTTACGGCTAACGATCGCAGTGACAGTATGACAAATCGCATGTCATAGTAATTAGAAAAGGACTGAAAAAGCGTAATATTTTCCCTAGATGTTATCGATCAAAGATTATTTAAAGCTTCTGAGCGGAAATAATGTTCACACTCATGAGAATGTGAAATTTACCAATATGTTACTACACCTAATGCCACTTCAAGAGAGGAAATAAATACGTATGCATTTTGAAAAAAAACAATTACTCTTTTCGACATTCGATAAATTAAGTAAAACATCATATTACGTGCGAACATTCAAACATTGAATCTAATAGATTAAAAAATTTATTGAGATTTAAAATATATATGTTACAATCACCTTACCAGTAGCGAATATTACCTATTTACTAAATACCTATTAACTTATTAAAATAATTTTAAATATCCATCCACCAAGCACTTTTTTAGGGAACCTAAAAAGAATGTCATCAGTCCTCCAGGCTCTATGAAAATCTTCAACCGTACAAAACGTGACACATTCGCACCTAAAATCACCGATTAATCATGAGTATCATTTGATACACTTAAAACACAGCCATCATTGCGTCCTACACAGTTCCACAATACTACATCCCCGTCGACGATGAAAAAACCCACAAAAACAACTATTTGTTCGCAAATAATTTCCGTTTCATGATAACACCTATGTTGCTACATCATTATGATATATAATAGTGCACAACAAGCAATGAAACTTACCTGGAAGAACAGACAGAAGCACACCCACTGGTAGTAGCCGTAAGTCTTGCGATCGTCCGTCTTTCCACGGGTGTTATCCACGCCCGGGTACGGGACACTGACACCGACCTTCTTTTTGAACGCCTCCTTGATGGTGTACGTGGAGTGTATCCAGCAGTAGGTATTGAGCACGTCCTCCGGTATGTCCTTGGTGTGCACGCAGTCGATCGGGTTGCCGACGTACTGCCGGGTGGTCACGATCAGACTGAAAGCGGACAACAGCATCACGGTCAAGCTGTAGTGGAGCCGGAACACGGGCGAGTCGATGTGCACGTGGCTGATTTTTACCAGGCTCTTCAGGCCCCGGAACACGTCAAGCATGGCGTACCGGGCCGGCGGGACACCCGATCCGTAAGCCCCGCATCTCACCAGTCGGCCGGCCTGTCAGCTGCTGCCCAGTGCCGACAGTACGGCCGTCGCTACCGCCGCGGCCGGCATCATCTCGTCCGCCGCGGTCACGGGTTCAATGCCGATCTCCACGTCCTGAAATTCCTCCGCGTCCTGAAAAATCTCCGCGTCCTGAAAGCCGTCCGCGTCCTCGTCTCGCAGCGACCGCTCTTCGTTGTCGTCGACGTCGGTGTCCCGCGGATTCTCGTCTTCCACCACACTCGTCGTCGTTGACGACCTGTAACACACCGACGCACATGACGTTCATAAACGATAATATACACGATGATGTATGTGCATATTGTTACGAGTTGTCGAACGATTTCGTCGTAAACGGATGACGCACCGGTTTCAATCCGCATTAACCACTACCCGACAACGAGTATATGACTACAACGACCAAACAGTATTGATAACAATTAATGCTTTAAATATTGCAGTCAAAAATTGCAACGGTATCGCTTACGTGTAGTGACGACGAATTAACCGAATTTAACGAATCAAAAAAAATCTCATCGATCATTTAACATACGTACATTATTCCGTACATGTATTTCGCTTCAGTCGTGTTTTCTGATTCTCCGGCATAAATGCGTATTATATTCCCAGTATCCGATGGCTACGAAAAGCTCGGTCTGTGTTTACCTCTAGTCGAAAAATACCCGACAGCTCGCGTTTCAATCAAAATTCTGTCGCCGCCGTGTCAACGTTAAAAACAACGATCTATCAACACGATGATAATCGTATGATATTCAAACTGAAAAATAAAAACGTAACACGTGCGACACGTGTGACGATGAGAAACCGCTGTCGGGATTAAACAGTTGTCGGCGATTTCCGAGCGCGTAAGCGTGACGATTTTAGCGTACTACCTTGGGGTACGTTGAAAACATGATTGGTTCTAATAACGATTCGTTCAAATCGAATACTTCCATTTCGCTTGGGCATTCATGACGGATGCGCAAGCGCCATATAAGATTTAATCCAAAGCGTATGGAATCCTATTTTTCGCTCGGCGAACCGTTCATGTGTTTTAATAATAGAAGAAGAAAAAAAAGAACTGTGCTGATGACGACTAATAACGAATACGCTGTTATCAGCGAAGACTTTGAAAAATACACCATGGTATAATGCTGTACTATAACTATGTATGTAACTACCGTCTGTATGAACGGTCAAATACGTTACATAAGTTTATAAGATTTTATTCCGGTGGTTGTTTTCTTTAAGTAAAATCGGACGAAGCACTGACGACTCACGCAACAACGTGTTATTATCGTCCACGGTCAAAACAATAACGTGGCAATATGAATATAATGTATATATAATACAATGACGGAAAAATAGGTATTTATAAACGTGTAAATAGGTACATCGCACATAATTATATGTGCACATCGGGTCCCTGAGAAACTATATTCCTTTAAAAGGATTAAGATATATTATTATTATAATGCACGTGGGCTCGTGTTCAATGAAAGACGTTACGTTACTATGTTATAGTATGACGACTGCAACCACCACCGACTGCTGTCAAACGGAGACCCTAAGAATATAATATTCCCGGTCCCCTAGGTCATAAAAAAAAAACGCAAAGACGAAGCCATTTTTATTGTCACCGACCGGACGAGTTTAACAACGGCGACATGGGTGACAGGGGTGAACGGCTCTGGTTTCGGATTAGACGCACAGAGTGACTATATAGCTGCATTTATGCGCACGAATAAATCAACCTCTACACTATAAGGTACACCAAGACGCCACAACGCAGAGATTCTTCATTCCTGGTTTTTCTTTTTTTTTTTTATTTCTTTTTATCGGCCTACGTCTCTTTAAACGACGGTAATAATTACTGTCATCTTTGTTACTATACGCGTTATACTGCGCAGTAAAATAATAATAACGAGTCTATTCTTCGGTGCTGCACAGCAGCTAAATGCCTACATAATACTATACGTATATGATACGGACATCCTGGGGCGGTTACGTGTACAAGACACACTATTCCAGACCGCAGCTGCTGTTGGCAACCATTCCGAACGGATCAAAAACACCGTCGTCGGATCGACTGATGCACGCGGACTGCAGACTAGTGTAATATAAAAGTCTTCGCATCGTTGCGGACATGATGATGATCATATATGTAATAATAGTATTATGACTGATTCGCTCTGTTTCGCATTCATTTATAAAATCGTTGCTTGACCAATTTTTATAGTTTCGATTTTAAGCAATAAAACCTTTTAAACGTTAGCCATCGTCATTTTCCTCATCGAGTAAGTATTAAAAAACGTTAAACGGTATATAAAACACAGTGCAAATTCTCCATGCATGTATATTTTTCAGTATAAACACTATCGGGAAATTTTAACTATTCGATATTGGTTTTCGAGAAGCTCTGATAATCATCCAGTACATATAATGTAAAATACAGTAAACTCTCGGTAATCCGGCCGTACGATAATCCGGTATGTCCAGTAATCCGACAGTATTTTATCTTAAAATGTTTTCTTAAAATCATCATTTGAAACAAAAAACAAAAACAAATTTATGTATATATATATTTTTTTAACTGTACTGTTATAAGATTAATTCACAGTACGTCATAAATTAGTATGTATGTACGCATGTATTATTTATAAGTTTCAATAAAATAAATTAAGGTTTTTCAATAAGTAAAGATGCGTTTTTATGTGAAACTTCATTTATCCAGCGTTTTCGTTAATCCAACATTCTTCTGGTCTGATATCTACCGGATTATCGAGAGTTCAATATATACCGTTGTTTTATAAAATTTAAACAAATTTATAATATAAACAACTTTATTATTTTTTCGTTACGTCAAGTTTTTATTTCCAATTGAAGCGAACGACCATTAGTTTGATATAAACATTTTTTCCAGGAAATTATTTTTGAAATAATATAATTTAGAGTTGTGTATAGCACGTCCAATGGGTTTGAACATTAAAAGAATATTCGTTATTTATCATTTACTTAACCTACCACTTTATATTTCACGGTACAACTATTACAAAGATAAATGTAAGTAGTCTTTTCTCATATATGGCTAGTTGGATTCAGAACTGTACTTGCAATAGATTTTTTTTAATAAGATTGCTATGAAATATGAGTAAATATTCACTAATATACGACTGACTTCCAAATATTAAACCAATTTTAAAAATAACCACACTGTCAAACTTAAATTTGAAAAATATGTACAAATAACTTAATTAAGCCTATAGTTGCTTTATTGTATACACCTAAAATAACTCACATATATAAAGTTTATAAATAAGTTATTTTTGGAAAAAAATCCAATGTTTTTTTTTAATGGTGTTCGTATAAAAATTGAAAGTAAATATGTAATTTCATCAAGATATTTTTCATATTAATTACTAATACACAAATTATAAAAGTTTAAGTAAATAATAAATTAGGTTATCGGAGTATCAAAAATATATTGTATTAAATTGACATTCAAATGTATTGCAAAAGAACAATATTTATAAAATATTTTTCAATAATAATTGAAAAATAAAACAATTAAATTAAAATTAAGTCTGTACATATTAATTAATCAACACTATGTTATGAACCTTTAGGTCAACCAACATCCTTTTGCTTGTAACGATTTTCAAACCTGTGACAATTATACAAAAACACTAAATTATAATTTTTGGCATGCCCTATATGATTAATGGAATGTAATTTATTTTTTTATAACGATCGTTGATCAAATTAAAGGAATGCTTTAGATTTGAATTATGAAAATAACTATATGTACGAGTATATTATATCCTATTATAATAAAAACCGATGTGACATAGTTATTGCATGTGATTTTTTGTTACAGACTATAATTAGTAAAGATATACGAATAATCTTCTCGATTTTTGGAAAACTTTCAGTACTATCATTTTTTTTTTTTTTATTGATATAATTAAAAAAGTTAATTTTTTAAAATTCAAGCAAAATCCTAGACTTTTTTATTCATCTAATTAAAAATAAAATATATAAAAATAGCTTGAATAATACAATGCAATTAAATGAAATTAGCCGATTACAACACATACCAAAATAATAATCAAAGTTTTAAAAAATATGTCCAAACTAATTTAACCATAGACATGTGTCCGTAATCATTTAATGTGATTAGCATGAACTCAAAATTAAAATATTTTTCAATATATGTATAATTTTATTTTATTTATTAAACGTTGTTGACATTTTTTTTTTTTATTAGACTTTCTATCAACTTTCTTGGATTTAAAAGTATAAATTAAATAGATAGTTCAAGAGACAAAAGTGACAAAAATAAATCGATTTCGTTTAATCTAAAACTTAAAACACTTATTAGTAAGTTTAATAAAAATTTTAATAGCACTTAGTAATGCTAAATACATAATTACACATTTATTTAAAAACTGTATATAATAAAATATATGTTATATTACTTATCATATTTCAATTTTTCCACACTACATTCAATAAAAATGTTTGTTTTATAATAACTTTTTATCCATCTTATTTATAAATAACTAACAGGACTTGGCTCAATATTTTAAATAAAAACAAAAAAAAATAAATCCAAAATAAAAAATAAAATAAAAATTATGAATAAATTATAGGTAAATTCTATAAACGAGTATTAATGATTAGGTATAAGATGTTTATTGTGACAGTAATTGTCGTTGAAGTAATTATTACTTTTGTTTTCGCTAATAATTATTGTTTTAAGTGCATCCAACTAAATTAATAACATGGTTTTAGTTTCGAACACGCGACTTATTATTAAAACTCATTTTTCTCCCTAAAACAATGGTAATTTTTTACTAATATACCACTACACGTGTAGAATTTTGTATAACTTCCAGAGGATCATGGCAGTAATTTCAAAAGTAAATAATCCGAGAAACATACAGCACTGGCTGGTGAAGTAATAAAGACTGTGGTATATATAAACTGGCCACACGTTTAATGGGTTTTAAACGACTACGGCAGAAGTATTTAAGAACAATTCATCAATGCGATTACGGAAACGTAAATCGTACACATCATCGGATATAATGAGACATGAGATCGAGAAGGAAACAGAGCGGTCATTTTGGACATCTATTATAATTATTATTACATTATCAGCATTATTTTATTATATAATTTACTAATTGACTCGTTGGAATGCATCGGCAAACAATGAACGGTGGTGAACACGTATTGTTCATTTCGAAAGCCAAA